AACAACAACAACAACGACAAAAGGGAAAATAACTAGCATTGAATGTTTTACAGATGTGCACGGGGTGCACTCAATTGCCGTGACCGAGTATACTGAGATTAAAAGAAACACAATAGAAAGAATAGAAGATTAAGGGTATCACTTGCTGACTCTCTTCTCCGGTCACTATGAAATAAGTCACCACAGTTACCTACAGTCGACAAAGAAAGGGTCGGCTTAAGAAGAGAGCGCGATGTAAATATGTCTAGGGACAAGAGATTCCGCGTTGTTTTCCGTTGCTCCCTCGTCACTCGGGCCATAGCTAGACGCTACGTGGACGGCGAGAAACCAAACAGAAACCTGTTAGATCTATTCCCGCTAAAGCATGGGTTCTTAACCTAAAACAAGAGTTCTTAACCTGTGGTCCATAGACCCCTTCGGGTTCCGTGGATGGGCTTAATTCGGGGGGTCCGTGAACCCCATTGTATGCAAAATTGTGTGTTTATGTGCATTTTGCTGGGGAGGGTTCCGTAGCTATCACCAGATTCTCAAATGGGATCCATGACTAAAAAAAAATTACACGCACACGTATTTTTGTTCTATTACAAAACATTGTTGTAGCGAAGAGGAATTCGCGAACGAGATTTTACGAATAGACTCAAACTGCAATTTTTCATGTTTCATAAAGCACACGACGCACAAAAAGAGAGCAAAATTTGGGCGCATGCGAGAATTGAGCCCCCTTCATCTCATTTCTGAGACTAAATAATGTAAAAATATATGAAATCTGATTTGTAATTGTCAATTAACAAGCGTAATACGTTTATTGAGAACTAAAATATGCATTAATTCTACGTATTTACACACAATTGAAACCCATGCACTGCCACAAAGCGGACGAACAGAAAATGTGCTTAAAAGCAGTGGTAATTCTATTAGTAGGCCTATGATATTCAATATACATATTTAAAAATATAATATTTAATTGAAAGTTAATATTTCATAGTATTATATACGTTTTGTCAGTATAATTATGACTGTCTGTCAAATTTTAAAGCTATGTATACCCATTCTTTTCATATTCATCACCTTATTCAACGTAGTTGCCGTATAAATGTGTTGAACACAAAACTACGCACTTATAAATATAAAATTATATAAAAGCAGTGGTAATTCTATTAGTAGGCCTATGTTTTTTCTCTCTTCCAAACGTCTACGTAGGAATGATCTTAGCCTATTACCAACTCTCGTGGTGTTTTGTAGCCCTTCCACTGCTACTAAGTGGCAGTACGTGACTTCATGTATCAGAGTAGAAAGCTACGACTGAATTATGGCGGAATATCATCACCGGCTGTTGCAGAAATTAATCGATATAATTCGCCCGGTTACAGCGTCGCACGGGGGCTATAATACGTAACTACTATTTGCCAGACTCCTCCACACACCTAGCAGCAGCAGCAGCAGCAGCAGCAGCAGCAGCAGCAGCAGCAGCAGCAGCAACAACAGTAATAGTAGTAGCAGCAGCAGTAGCAGCAGCAGCATCCGCAACAGTAGCAGTAGTAGTAGTAGCAGCAGCAGTAGTAGTAGCAACAGCAGCAGCAGCAGTAGCAGTAGTAGTAGCAGCAGCTGCAGCAGTAGCAGTAGTAGTAGTAGTAGTAGTAGTAGCAGCAGCAACAGCAGCAGCAGCAGCAGTAGTAGTAGTAGTAGTAGTAGCAGCAGCAATAACAAAAACAACAACAACAGCAGCAACAACATTAGTAGTAGTAGCAGCAGCAGCAGCAATAACAACAACAACAACAGCAGCAGTAGCAGCAGCAAGAACAACAACAACAACAGCAGCAGCAGAGGCAGCAACAACAACAGCAGCGGCGGCGGCGGCGGCGGCAGCAGCAGCAGCAGCAGCAGCAGCAGCAGCAGCAGTAGTAGTAGTAGTAGTAACAGCAGCAGCAACAACAACAACAGCAGCAGCAGCAGCAGCAACAACAACAGCAGCAGCAGCCGCGACTGCTCTCGGCCCCTTTCCGTACGTAGTAGGGCTACGCTTGGCGATTTTTACATGCGAATTATCGTGGCGGTACAAAGTGTAATTTATCGCTGCGATGCCTTTAGTTTTGATAACGTGCCCACACTTTGCCCACGCGAATTTCCCATCACTGACAGTAGAGAGCCGTAGGCTCAGAAGTTGTGTCGCAAGTGTCGCGTGTACGCACGCGTTCGCACAACGCAGTGACGCAGCCAACCAATCATCACAGGACAGTGCGATTTACGCCCGGGGATCGCCAGGCCGAAATTAGACACGAAAATAGAAGCATCATGTTTTACTATGTTTCGTTGTGGGGCTGATATATATATATATATATATATACATATATAACACAAGGAAATAATCCTGTATTATTCACAGCTCCCACAGGCCGCTTATTTACAACCCGAGTGATTCACTGTAGCCTATATTCACATTCCCAGCCTCTGTGTATCACACACACACCGACTGCCCACAGCCACCACGACCACGAAGCTGACACACACACACTGAAGGCTGCACGGCAAGGTTGACTACACAGCGAGTGACGCAGATGGGGTCGTTGTCGTATCAGGTACTACAGATATGTACCCGAAGTATAGTTTTAGGTTGTTTACTATTACGTTTATATTTTTATACGAGGTATGTTTAGGGTTAGGGTTAGAGTTAGTGTTAGGGTTAGGGTACACTTCTGTAGTACAAGTCTGGTA